TTCATGTTTCCACATAAAATTACGTAATCTTTGTGTATCACAAGCAACTTAACTTTCACGCGTTTAACATACAAGTGGAATTCCTACTACAATCGGCTTGTTGTTCTAATTTTGAAGACACTTTTGTTTAGTATAAGTGAAAGAGAACTTGAATGGATTGCATAAGCTATTTTTACAATTAACAGTTAGTTTATTTATTCGTTTTTTAGCTATTTCAAGGTTTCATATTTCGAAACAGCTTCAAGTTTGACCTTGAATCTTCAAATAAACCTTCAACTCCAAGTCTGAGGTCGTGAACAGTTGCTTCGACTCTGAATTAAGTCTGTCTTCTGAGTCGGACTTGTTCAGCCTGCTCGCTAGTGAAGAATTTGTGCAGAAAATTCTTAGGGTGAGATAGACAGTAGAGGATACAAAAGTTTTACAGAGTAGAATATAGGGTGATAAGTTATATAAATACTAATATAATATCATTTTTTTATTGTCTATTAGCATTATCAATCTTTTCTTATACCATAACTGAGTAGATTTCGATAGAGTACCCATATTGAGAATATCTTGATCTACTTCTAAAAGGTTATCGGTTTTTGATTCAAGATTATCATTATTGATAGAACATGTCTTGTCTAGTGTTTCTTTCAATGTTGTTTGAAATACTTCATTTAAATAATTTATCGTATTATTTAAATCGACACAGTATATGCTACTGATGTAATATCTAATCGACAACATAGTAAAGTAATTAAGAAAAATAGTGGGTATTTAGACATGGTTTATGTTGATAGCTAACTGATCTGTGTCTGATTTCATTGCTAATTTAACCCTTTGTTTACCATTGCTCGACCATGATAGCTAGGGGCCATATGGAGTCGAAATAGATTTGACTGGAGTTTTTTTTGCAGGCGACTTGACGAAAAATCTTTTTTGCAAGTTACTTATAAGCATAAGGACATGACTAATTCGAAAATATCTCTGCCTGCTCAGGTATTTTCCGTTACCGAGATAAGAGACATTATTTCCTAAAAACTGGCTCTTATTTATGGCTTCGAAGGCAAGGTCTTTGGTGAAATTGATTACTTAGGCAGCTGTAGCTTTGTACTTAAATTCTCTGGCAGTTGTAATTTCTTCCATGGGTGGGGAGAGTGCGCAAAATTTTGGACTTTTTCCATTTTTAACCATGTCGGACTTCTGAGTTTTTCACGGCTTCTACCAATGAAAAGTAAGCTCGCACTTGACAACATATCTCTATACTGTACTTGAGCTACTTATGGCTATTTTATTCATAAAGATATGATTATAGGTAGCCGGCAGAAAAGGTAGTTATTTTACGGATAATCTCGATAAAGGAAAATACCTGAGCAGAGATATTTTCGAATTAGTCACATCTTTATGCTTATAAGTAACTTGCAAAAAAGATTTTTCTTCAAGTCGTCTGCAAAAAAACTCCAGCCGAATCTATTTTCGACTCGATATGCTTTTGAATTTGTATCATCATTGCTCTCAGCGAATGCTGATCAAGTTTAGGCTTCTTTTCCTCGATGATTCGTGAGATATAAGCGTTTCATTTCTTTCTCGTAAAATGCTAATAACTCCTGATCCAAGAGAGGTGAAGACTTTTTCTTTTTACCAAAGTGTACACGGTAAAAAAAAAAGCGTCCAAAAACGCGCCCACTAGAAAAAGTTCACGAAAAGTATACTAAAAAAAGCATCGACCAAAATGAGTCCCTAGTCGAGACTCCCGGCCAAAGCCCTGCGGAAGTCCCAGTAAAATTCCGAAGAATCTAAACAAAATCGAGAAATGTCCCGCGAGAGTCCCGGCAGGATCCCGTGACGGGAGTCCCTATAAAATCTTCGCAACGAAAAATCGTAGACAGCTCGGAAACGTCTTAAATTAAATTTTCAACTCTTTTCTGCATTTTGAGATCTCTTGGGACTCTAGAAAATCTATCCTCAAAAAGTTATGATTAAAACGCCGCTAGCTATATTTCGATTTATTTTTTGGAAAAGTGGATCGCGCCGTTTTAATCGTAACTTTTTGAGGTTACCTTTTCTAGAGGAGAGACACTGATGAAATCAGTGTCTCAGCTGTCATAAGAAATATTCCTTCTAAGCGACTCTTTTATATCAAAAGTTGTTATTGCACAGATTCTTTTCTGTGACATATACGGACTTAATTAATCTGTGAAAGAGATGTGTCTCAAAAGAAAACTTGTCCAAAAATCCGATAGTGTGACTTTGTGACTAGCGAAAATGAGACTTACTTAGATAAGGGAACAGAGAGCTGAATTTGCTGTGTACACCCTCTAAATTTACTACCTGCCTCTGTATTCATACTGATTTTTTCAAAAATAAAATTTTTTGTGCATGGGACTCTCGCGGGACTTTTTGTGGAGTCTCGTAGGACTCCTTATCGATTTTTTGAGGAAAAAAACTCCCGAGGAAAAAACTCCATTCCACTGCACCAGCTTAGCTCAGAAACGGCTGATTTCCTGCGACAGTGGATCGGTCCAGCAGAGCAGGCGTGCTTCCAAATTCCAAAAGTATAGTGCGTTCAAAACTGAGTAAAATATTATTTGGAAATCTCTTCAAATTTTGTTGTTTCATCTAATAAAAAAAAACATACGAAAAAATTCGTTCAGAATAGGGGTGGCAGTATTATTATTACTCATGTATTACATTACCGAGGAAAGTAATACTAAAAGGTATATATTACTGTTACTGGTAATAGTAATCTTTCATGTATTCCTATTACCAGTAACAGTAATATTCATAAAATTAGTATTACTTTTCAGTAAAGTAATACAAGAAAAAAAATTAATAGGGGGCGCCACAATCGATACGAAATAATATGATGATTTCGTGTTGATAGTGGCGCCCCTACTGAACTTATTTTTTCTTGTATTACTTTACGGAAAAGTAATACTAATTTTGTGAATATTACTGTTACTGGTAATAGGAATACTGTTACCAGTAACAGTAATATGTACAATATTTGTATTACTGGTAACAGTAATAGTAATGTGCCACCCCTAGTTCAGAAAAAGAACCGTCTAGCAAAAAAGCATACCAAGATGTGACGAAAAAACCTCCCACTAAGAAACGTCAGCTTTTGGACGCTTCTTTTTTTACCGTGTAGCCCAGACTTTCTTCTATCTATGGTATGAATTTGAAATGTCAGCTCTTAATAGTTACTGAAATACAGCTATTTTACGATTGAGGGTCACTTTTGAAGTTTGAGTCCCTCATCCAAAAAAACTCATAACTCAATCTAGAAATATTATCTCCACTTCAAAAATGCACCAGATACTCTAAAATGTTTTTAGATTATTCGCACAAATTATGACGGCTAACTATTGTATGGTTCGAGAAATTCATTGAAAATGAGCATCTACTATTGAAACATACATAGGAAGACAAGGGTGGGGAACCAGGGGTCGTCCATTCTACCATAACTTCTGTGGTTAATGTCCGTCATAATTATGTAAAAATATAGTAAGGAAACCTTTGGAGGAAAAAAATCCATAGGTAAAATATTGCCAAGAAGACTTTACAGTTACCCTAGTATAGCACCAAATCATATCATTTCTTTTGCGTCTTTCTCACTTTCCATGTACTTGCAACCAAAATTAATAACATACTAGAGATCAACAGACAAAACTGCATCGTCGCATTTTGATATCTTTTTGCGTTCGAGAGTTATTGAAAATCAGGAAACTTAAAAAAAGCGCCCTGAATTTTGGACGTTGGTAAACAAAGGGTTAATTAAGACTAATAAATATGGAAATATAAAAGGATTAGTGTGTCGCGAAAATTGAGGAGGGAAGGGCCTCGAATGTCTAATAACTTTTTCCTCCGAGCATACTTGATTATGAGCAGTTTCTGATTCTGATTTTGATTCAAAATCTGATATCTGCTTGAACTCTTAGATCTTTTTTAGGTGGATTGTTTAGAAACTCGGTTTCTGAAACTCATCATAATTTTTTACTAGACCGATTCTGATCTAACTCGTTTGTACAGAACATCAATAAAAATGTTGAATCTTTTGCATTTTTCTATGTTAAAATTGTAATAATTCTGTTAAAACGTGTTCTGTGGTTCACAAAACTTGTATACATAGGTAGTTCGATCTTCTATACATAGTGGCTGGATCAAAAATAAAAATAGTTCATGGTGATCGCTGCTGTTCATTTGATATAGAATACAAAAACCATATATACTTTGTCAAATTTAAGGCTGTTCAGTTGCATCGTTACGGAGAATTCTCAGTTGAAGAGACAAACAAGTATTATTCAAGTTTTACTGGAATTGTAGAGTTTCTTCATGTATTCTTCAGCTACGACTAAAGTTTCATTCTCAAAGAGAGACTATTGTAGTTAGACCATAGAATTAAACAACAATTGCATTGTAGAAATAAAAGCTTAAAATTCAAAATAGAAAAAATACCAATTTAATGTTCAGCTCTAATAATTGGAGTTTTAAAAATTTTATATAAAAATTTTTTTCTCTTCTGATTTCTCCCGGTTATGGTTTAGGGCCATTGGCTGCTCTTTCTTTTTGGCGAAGCTCAAAATCTACCATTTTAAACCTGTGTGCATTTAAGTGTAATATAAAAACAACGTCTGACATTCGAGCAGTACAATTGTTTGAAGATCGTAGCCAATTCACACTAAGTGCGAGAGAATAGATTGCTTGACAAAATGCAATGGAAAGAAATCTTCTTCGAATATTACAGAAATTTCATTCACAATTGCAAAGAATGTTATTAATTAACAGTTCGACTGATTTAACCAAAAATTAACTATCGGATAATTCATTTTCAAAGAATAACTAATTAAAAAACTTTCTCATACAAAAAATTTGCTTAAAAAATTAATTTTGAATGAAATATTGAAAAAGACTTGAATGATAAAAATAAAAAACATACACACTACACTTCTACAGGGTAATATTGGCATTTAAATCAAAATGTAATAGCTATAATAAATACTGTATCACGTACTCTGTTATTGTTCTAGTTCATTGTCAACTTTTCTACTTAACAGGAGTAACACCACAAAAATAATTACAAACACATGTTTCGACCTAAGAGCCGATACTGTACTTGACAAATATTGTAGATCTTCAGTTGTCCTAAATAGATAAAGATATGTTCAAAAGCAATTGTTCTTGGACAATGTCCAAGAACTTTTATAGAGCATCTACCTATAGTAGACTTCTCAATAGTTAGAGGGAGTATTTTTATTTCTCTTCTGATGTTTACCTTGTAATTATATCGCACATTTTAGCGGTAGGTTTTTGTTTAAGAGTATTTAAAACAGATTTAATTAATGGATAAGTTGTTGAACTTGTGTTGCACATACGAGAAAAATCATCAAAATCTAATGTCCAAAACATAACACCCGTTCCATAACACTGGGCTAGTCGGGTCTATCAAATAAAATAAATTCTAAATATTAACCGCAGAGCAGCAGTTGTAGAAACTTCTATTTTTACTTTTAGTGCAAGACTATATTCCGTATCGTATCCAATCCATTGGTCATCTTTGACCATATACGGACACTCTTGAATATCATCGTAATAATGGTTCCACTGAGCTGTTTCACGCAGCATACATAATTCATAAAATGCATAAATGCCGTTCTCATTTGTATATTTTCCACTCGTACCTTCAAAATGAAAAAAAGTTAATATAGTCAATTAAAACGAGAACACATTAGAGCAAACCTGGACCAATCGTGGGTGCATTAATCCCATACGAATCTGTTGATTTCAATGTAAACGATCGTCCGTATGTTGCCAGACCTAAATTAAGCATAGATGGTGGAACTCCTTCCAATAACCAATATTCTAATGAACTAATCTAAAATAAATCCTTTTATTTAATAACTAATATCGAGAAGGTGTAGTATCTACACATACAACATTAAAATCTTGATGTGCGGTATTTCCAGGACGAGGATGCAATGGCGTGTTAAATCCTGTTTGGGAATTCCACGAGCCAAAGAAATCGTAGGACATGATTGAAATTAGATCGACGTACCTGTCAAAGATTAATAGCAAATTAGTAATTTCAATGTAATTCAGTTCAGACGATACAGACTTGACTAATTTTGGAATTTCATATCCTTTTGTCGATCGTTCAGGTGTAGCAGCAACGGCAATTGTCAGTAGTAAACGTTCTCGTTTTGTTTCATTTGCTTCTTTCTCAAATGCTTCACGTAACTCCTGAAAATAATAACATGACTATTACAACTTACATACGGCCATGATTAATCATGGTCAACTTACACGGCAAAGTACTGTAAATCTTTCGCGATCTTCTGGCGGGCTACCTCGCTCCATATCGCCCGGATATTCAAAATCAAGATCCAACCCATCGAACGTGCTAGAATAAATAGAGATTCACAAGATTTGCTTTTTTAAAAGAAAAGAGATCGATACATACTATCGTCGAAGAAGTGCGATTGAGGTTGTTATAAAAGTTTGTCGAAATTCTTTCTTTGACATCATTTTCGTAATCAATCCCATCCCGAAATTCCATCTGTAAAGAAAATCAGCGGCACATTTGGAACCCAAATATATTTTGTTCAAATATATTACCCTCCCACGGCCAACAAAGTTTTGACCGGTCGAATACTTGTACGAATTTTTTGATGAAATTCTGTGTATCTATAATTAAAATAAAAAGTCATTAGTAATTTAGTTGAATGTAAGAGACTCGATTTTAACCTTTGTTTAGCCCACAACGTGTCCTCATCATTCCATTCGTAACTTTTTAATGCATAAGAATCGTTGAGTATAGCAAATGCATAAATATAATGAGTACATAAATTTGGTTCAATATTCTGAGGAGTAAATTTTCCCTGATCAACACGATATCTAAGAGAGAAAAAAACATCTCTCTGTTGCTGATATAAATATGCAGTAGTGAGGATACGTACTGTGCCCAGTTTGTATAGTAACAAATAACACGCGTCTTACCTTAATAAATACGCGGTAAGAAGTACAGATTTTAAAAGATGTTCAAAATACTTACTTGTTTCAATCGACAATGATGGTGTCGGGTGCAGAACAGAATTGCTACTTCGTGCTACATACTGACATGCATAAAACCCAATTAATAAAAGAAAAATGGTTATTTGAATAAACTAGAAAGAAAAGAAACAAATTTTAAGCATCTGTTCACTTGCTCTCAGAAATAGGCCAGAAAAAATGAAAAAAATCTTACTTTCTTGAAAACGCAGCTCAATGTTCGAACGTTGCTTTCGGTAAAATCGAATTTTCTTAAAAAACCTTTCAGGACGGGGCAGTTCAGCCCGTTCTTGGTAGTTCGATTTCGCTTCAGCTCGATACCATAAGTTAGGTTTCACTTCATTCTCATCAGTTTAGAATGAAAATAAGAAAATTTAAGACCGAAAGTTCAACTGTCGTCTACAATCTCAGCCACACTATTTTTTCTGCGGAAGATTGGAGATTTACTGGTATAGTGACAATATACAACCTATACCTTGAACGTCTCTCGACTCATACTCGTGTATCAAGTTCAACGAGGAAGTCGAAATGTCTCTAAAATTTCTCATCCATATAGATGTAGGTGAATACCTAGCGTATTTCAACAATTGTTTTTTGATTCATTGACTTTAAATTTCGAAAAGTCTTACCGTGTGCATCGTCGAAATTAGTATGGTCTGTGCAAATACGTTGTGTGGGATAGAATTTTTATTTTATTTTCGTTTTTCGATACAGATTCATACACGTAGTCTATACGTCAAACAATCACAGGAGAAATAAAATTTGACGATACGTTAGTATCGCTGAAAACATAATAGAACAGAGGCAACAACTGAACAAGATCAGTCCATTGCTGTTACTAGAATTGTTTACGTTTATGATTTTGCTGAATGATATTCTGTAGCAATCTGCGATAGATTTGTGCAGATTTCGCACAAATTCTAAAAAATGTTCTATCATAAGTCTTGTCTCCATTCCGCAGTGAATCTGAAAGTTTCTGTTTCAGATCTGATTCTCATGGGTGTTGTTTGATCAAAAAAATGATGTCAGTGATTGTTTTTTTAAATAACTTTTGACAAATTATATAAATTTGGCTGCTCAATATTCCGATTTTAAGGCTTATGACGCACATTTTTATCATAAAAAAAATCAAAATCTTTTTTATAGTAGCGTCTTTAAGAAGATCAGAGTTTGTCGTTTACAGATTTGTAATAGAAATATATTGAGATTCTTTATATCAGTTTTTTTCTTTTATAGATCCTCTGGAAAACAGAAGTCATACGAGATCTTTAATCTGCATGCTCTAAGCATGTCGTTGGATTCACTGAAGTTCTACTCTCTAAAAAGAAGATGGTTCCCTACAATATCTTAAAGATTTCGTGGATCATTTCTGAACTCTTAATGAGTTCATGTTTATTTACTGAATCTCTAGGAGTTCCGTAGATCAAAAGGTTTTATGTTCAATGTACGAAACTAGGAAAGATTTCGCATTCAATTTGGGGATTGCAAGACGGTTTCGTAGATAAATACAAGACCTATTTAGATGTGTACGAGATCTGTTTAGATTTTGTTGGACAACCTCTATTTTGTGTTCCACTGATAATAGCGATACAGCTGTTCGTTTACATTGTTATTGTCTATAGCCTTTAGCATGCCCGCTTCTTAGTTGCTTTAGCCGTTCTATGTTTTCAACAGGTATACTAGATAAAATGGGGCGCTTTTTTTTTGAATTTTTTGGACAGTGAAGTATAGATTTAAGAATCCAACGTTGGCTCAAAAGATAGAAAATTTGCTGCTGTACAACACACAAGGGTAATAGTAAAACATGAAGACATCATAGACACTCACAGACAGCTACACAAACACCCATGGATGTCTGTGTGCTGTCTGTAAGTGTCTGTGGGTGTCTTCATGTTTTACTATTACCCCAGCACACAATAACTTCGATATTTACATAGTATTTCGCTATTTAAAAAATAACAAACAATGAAGGTAAGTAAAGATTAAAGCTGTGATGGAAAGAATCGACTTTAATTTTTCTTGTATTTGACCTTTCTCATTACTTCAGAACATTCCAGTTTGCTATATTAACAATTATACTATGTAAATACCAAAGATGTTGTGTGTTGTACAACAGGAAATTCTCTAAAAAAATTATTTGAATGAGCAGTTGGAAATAAAGTTTTAAATATAAAGTATAATACTGCTATGAATTAGGAAATTCTCTATATTCTGAGCCTAGAATGGACTCTTGAACCTATGCTCCGGAGTCCAAAACATTAAAGAAAAAGTCCTAGTAAACCAGCGCCATCGAACCTTTTTTCTGAATAAAAAAGTACGTGTTTGCTATGAAGCCTTTTTTCAACAGAACCTTTAAAGGTTTCGAATTCGTTTCCAGAGTAAGTATAAACTTTCACGGTCCGATAGAGAACCATTTTTATTTTACAGAGTAGGACTAGTAACTGTTGATTTTTAGAGACAACCTCAAAAACGACTCAAGTATAGATAGTTTGTAATTGTAACATAGGCAATTGTGAATGTTTTCAAAAAATATTAGATAGTCTACTTATTTTTCGGAAAATATACAAAATTGTATGATAATGCCAGTAAATATTTTAAATTTTGTATTAATATTAAGATTAGGGGTGTTAATTTAGTGTTACTTTGGAAAATAAATGTAAATGAATCATTTACACTTAAAAAATAAAGATAAATTCGTCATTTATATTTAAAAAATAAATATAAATAAATCAAAAAAAACATTTATCTTTATTTTATAAAAGTAAATGATTCATTTATATTTAAAAATAAAGGTAGAAATAAATAAATAAATATAAATGAATCATTTACACTTAAAAGATAAAGATAAATGGATCATTTACTTTTATAAAATAAAGATAAATGTTTTTTTTGGTTTATTTATATTTATTTTTTAAATATAAATGACGAATTTATCTTTATCTTTTAAGTGTAAATGATTCATTTACTTTTATCCATTATTATAAATGAACAATAAAACTAAATTAACACCCCTAATTAAGATCGTGTTTAAGATGATGTTTTTTGTTTATCAATATTTGTACTGATTTTCTTTTCTTGCTCTT